TCAGAGGAGTATACTGTGTTCCTCAATCCCATATTCAATTATTTTTTTACGGTATGTCAAGAATGGAGGGGTTAAGTAGAAAGTAAAATTTGAGTTTTTTAAATATCCAGAATAAGGAGTACTAAAGGGACACATAACATCCTGGGAAAGACCTGAATTCTGCAGGTGCCACCAGGAGAATGGTGTATTTTATTCTGGAATAGAGAAAAAAAAAATGTTTCTGAAAGATATTCCATTTTACTTCCTTTTAACATCAGAAATGTGGCATCACAACTGATACAATGACAGGGGATTTACCCCAACTTAGTCAAAACCTCATAGTTTCTGAACTCTGGACAACTAGCATATGCAAATATCATCCCAATGAGGCAAAAGCCAAGAAGCTTTGTTCCTCTTCTCTCTGTAGTGTTCTTCAACTTACCTCTAACTTGCACTAAAGTTCACAGTGGGTGGCAAAGTGTGGATCCAGGTTCTTCTAAGCCCTGGATGTTGGAAATACTACTTTGGTTAGTAAATGATATTATTTTAGAGATTTAATCTCCAAATTAGAAACTCTTGCAGATATATTTTCATTTCTGCTGAAGACTCTGAAGCCCCTTACAAACATGGAAGGTAGAAGAGACTCAGAATAAGCATTATTCAACTTTGAAAGTACAGGAGGCTCTATTACGGTTCTAGTGAATCCAAGTCAGAAAAAAAAAATGCCACAAAAGGGGAACACAAGTAGTGAGGTACTTAATAGAGACTTTGAGAAGAAATAAACCTAGGATAGTTCAGGTTCGCTAGAAGAAGAGAAAAAGGGAATTCTAGGCATAAGGCCATCAAAAGCAAAAATATGTCAGGGCGAGAAAGAGTACGGTAGATACCAATGAACAGAAGAACAGCGCTGCTGGACACCAAAATGTCCAGAGATGGCTAGAAAGGGAAGGGTCAGTTCAAGGAGAGCCACACATGCATTATTAAAACTCTCACAGTGAATCCTGTTGGTGCCAGAGATTTCATAAAGGGGTTTACACTGAGGGGTAACAGTCAGATTTGGGTTCAAGTTTCAATTACACACGCAACTTTGTGGATGAAGGATTTAAGGGCTACGAAGCTATAGAAAAGCAAAGCAAAAAGTTCATATAGTCAAGTACAAGGTAAGTAGGATCCGAATTAGAGCAAAGAGTTGCAGGAACAAGAGGAAGATCCTATGTGTCCAATATTTAACAAGCAAAAGAAGCAGGACTTGGTAATTAGTTGATGGTAGAGGGCAACATCTAGCACTGTCAACACTGGATGAAGATATGATGAGTTCTGTATGGGATCTTGAGTTTGAGGTATTGTGAGACACCTAGGTACAGATATTCAGCGAATTGTTGGACATCTGGCCTGAAACTCAAAAATACATCTAGAGACACAGATTTGGGATCTATCAGTACTTAAGTTATACTTAAAATAGGAGTAAATAAAATCATGCAGGGAGAGAATGCAGTTAGAACAGTGGTAGCCTAGGATGGAACCAAGAAGAACACTAACATATAAGGGGTAGGTTTAAGAAAAATAAAAATAAAAATAAAATACGGAAAGGAGAAAGAAAGGAGCGGTCAGAGGAATTTGGGGAAAATTAAGAGAGTGTTATGTCTTGGAAGTTAAGAGAGGGAATTTCAGAGAATAAATTAATTATCAGGATCAAATGCAAAACATAGGCCCAAGAGACGATCACTAATAACGGCCATTACATTTTACAATCTGGAAGTTACTGATGATCTAAGCAACATCCACTGCTATAAGGTGGGGGAGGCAGTCTGTTAAGTGAAGAAGTGGAGATAAGACATCACTACTTCTTCAAAAGGTTTAGATAACAGCAAAAAGAAACTGGTCATACTTCCAAAGAAATGCTGTGTCCAAGGAGAGTCAGGAGTGGTTATTTCCAGTGCCACCACCATTACAAAGTAAAGTTCTACCACTAATTCCAAAAGAAAAGTCTGGTTCCAGAAAGAATGCAAATGTTGCATGGTATCTACCAAACATTGAGAATTCCATGTGCTTGATAAGAGGAGCAAAATTAAACTGTTTCATTATCAATCTCTAGTAAGAAAAAAGTAATAATAATACTCAAAGGGATGAGGTCCTAGCTCTCACACTTAATAGCTGTATGATCTTGAACACATGACTTAGTCCTTTGCTTTTCCCATTTTATAAGGATGTTCTATGAGTACTTGCAGGTTTTACGAGAAATAAGATACTGCATGCACAATGGTTAGCACAGTGTTGGTTTAGTCAAATTTGTCTCTACTGAGGTTAACAGACAAAACTTACACAGTGTTTAAAGAACTTCACTTTTAAGGCATGTTTAGTTGTGCATTTATGACAAGTCCTAGTGGGATCCTGATTTACAGGTTCATAATTAGCTTCCCTAAATAGGTCACTATTAGTCTACAAAGGGGGAAAATAAACACTGTAGGTAAACATAATACTATATATATATACACACACACACATATGTATATCCTTACACAGGTAAAAGGAAAACCAAGTAGTACACAATTGTAATTTCAAATTCCAAAGGATCCTTCCCTTCTCTTGAGGTATACCTCTCATTAATTTCTTTAGCAAAGTGTACACTGCAGAGACTTGTTCATCTTTCTGTCAAAAATGAATTAAACATAACTCTGAATAGTAATAAGTGCTGTAATGTTGTCTTCCTTTTTAATTTACATGTGCAGTAGTCTTTAATGATACAGTATATAACTCTTTCAGCCAATCCAAACAGAAAAAAAGATTCAATTATTCCCCAGATCTATAGGCAGGTACATATTTCCCTTATATATCAGAATTTCATTACTGCTGGAACAGATTTAAAAGTCAGCATACAATAAAAGAGCTCATGAGCAATCCAAGGATCTGAGAGAAAGAAATAAAAATATATTAAATTTCATATTCATAATATACAGCCTCATTACCAAGAAGAATGCTGTCACCTTTTAGACAAAACAAAAAACCTTCCTTTCAATAAAACAGGGAGTAAAAGAAGTAAAGCTCTACGTCAAAATAATGAAAATACAGATCTATTTATTAAGATGTCAGTAAATGATTGGAATGGAAATGATAATGTAAGAAAACATCAAGTATGCATCTTGGTAGTTTATAGTAAATGTACCTGCTGGCCAAATTTACATTTGGAAATTGCACATATGGTTAATTTAGTGGCATAGTTCCCAGCAAGAGTCCTTAAGACTTTTTTTTACAAATAAATCTATTCAGCAAAAACGTTATTTCTTGGAAGAAATAACTGCAAATGAGTATACAGTTAAACACTCATTGCACATCCCCATTGTCTTTCTTTTCTCCCCTCTACACTTCAAGTACAATAGTCACTAGATTTCCAAAGGCACCAGGAAGCACAGAACTGAGATTTATGTCTTTGAAAATACTTGACGGTATTAGGCAATTAAAACTAGAATGTTTGGTTTTTATTGTTAAAAAAAATTAACTCTAATTGTAACATCACAGTAAGGGAGATTAAACCATTTTTTCTCCATTTAGTAAATTCTCACTATATAAAGCTAAACAACAAAAAAACCTGTAACTATATAAAACTCAAGCAAAAAGAAAATAAATCGTTCCCCCATCCCCACTCCCTAGAGTACTGTAAAATAAGTGAAGCTCACAACAGTGGTAGCTAAAACATTGAAAAAATAAAGTGCCATATTAAAGATTAAGCAGCATTCTCATGAAAAGCACACATAAAATCCATTTCACATCATTGATCACATTATATACCAAGTTGGTAGTTATTCCAGGTATTGCAAATGATACTTAATAAAAACTCAATAAATCAAAAAAATGTTCAGTCACCCAGATTAAGGAAAAATGTATTATGTCATCTGATAAATTAGAGGTAAAGTAGCATTATGTGTTGAAATGAAGAGTAGAGTAGCAGGGCAGAGATGACTTCTTTGTTATCCTCCCCAAAATAATTTTGCTGGCATTGGAATAGTCAACACAAAGGAACGAAGGAGTTACTTCCAGGTCTGGACGGAGCACCCTATTTGTACCAATCACCGTCTAGCTACCACTGCTCCTTTTGTGGCAGAATTAGACCCTTACAAAGAAGTGATTCTTTGGCTGAACAGCAACAACCTAGACTAAACATATAATGGGGAACACAATTTTTAAATAACTTGAATGAATTTAATTGCTGGTAGCAGTCAATGAAAATATCATTATATAAACACATTACAGGCATCGCATATGAGCACCATAAAACTTATACATTCTTTTACATTCACTTTTTCCCCCCAAGATGATATTAAGCTAAATGTGGGAAACAACCCAAGTATCTTTACATGTTAAACTTCTATGAAGACAATACATACCCCATCTCTTATTTTAGTTGGCAAATGATAATCATAAGGGAGAAAAATCCATTATGAAAACTAAATCTGGGCACTTCTCTGGGGTTTATTTTTCGACTGGGGTCAATCAAAAAAAGCATTTGTTTCATATCTCTTTATTGATGGGGTGTTCTCAAAGAAGCAACCGACCCAGACCCAACTTCATTTCTTAACTGGAGCCTGTTATCCCCTCCCCTCCCCATTCCGAGACTGCAAGTTTCCTGTCTGGATGCCTACAAGTAGTACATCTCCCAGCCGAAGAGCAACAATCGAAGCAGAGGAAACCAACAAGAAATCCATCAGCTCTCCAATCTATTGACACTCAAGGGCCAGCAGCACCCCGCTAGCCTTCTCGAAACGCTCAGCATCCTGCTGAGGAAAACCCGAGGGTGGGGGAAGTGTGAGGCCAGGGAAGCAACCAGACTGCCTAGGTGAGCCTAAGGTGAGGTGAGTCAGAAGCAAGAGGGAGGCAGAGAAGTGCAGCGAGGGCGGTCACCTGTGGGACCACTTGATCCAGCCCCGCCTCCAGGGACAGACAGTAGGCAGAATCCCGGCCGGCAGGCCCCGAAAGACGCTGGGAAAACGCAGAGCTGGGCCCCTTCAGCCCAGCCTGGAACTCACCATCCACGGTTTTCTTCTTGAAGAGGCACGCCATGGTTAAAGACCGCGCCCGGGCGGCCCGGCTCGGCCCGGTCCGGCCCAACGCTGGGAAAGGACAGGACCTTGACGGGTTTGGGGTGGCGGAGCGGAGAGACAGCAGGAGGAGGTCGGGGTCGCCAGGCAGGACCCGCGGAAGGCGTGTATCCGCAGCTACCGCAGCCGCGTCACCCGGAGCTCAGGTGACCAGGAACTAACACACTTTTTGGAGAAGTCACTTCTAGGCGGCGCCTGCGCGTTGTGTGTCGCGCCTGCGCACTACGGAGTTTGAAGCCGCGGCAGCTTCCCTCACGTCCGCGGCTGCCAGTTCCTCCTGCGCGGGGAGTGGCAGTGAGGCTAGTCTGGGGCTGGCGGGGAGAGGAGAGCGTGGGGCCACGGGTTCTGTGCGCGGGTTCGGTGATCACTGAGGACAGTGATCAGCCTTGCTTAGCGCTTCGCCGCTTGCCCCGGGAAAAGCTGGATGAGGGATCTTCGGGATCCTAGACTAAGTGTGGGTTGTCCCGGAACCGTCTGCACCCACTCCAAGTTGATTTATTAGAGTCCCATTGCTGTTAGTATTTTTGTTGTTGTTGCTGTTTGTTTGTTTGTTTGTTTTTCCTCGAGTAAGTCCAGGAACTGGCGGAAACGTTGAGTTCCGCACCCGGTGATCGTTGGCCCCTGGAGTTCACGGTCCTTTCGGCACTGACTGGCTCCGCGACCTCCCGGCGCCCACCCGCGCACACCCTTGAGGGACCCGAGCCGCTCACCTGCCGCCCCGCGCCCCAGACTCCGATGACCCAGCTTAGGTCTCCGGGGATCTAGTGTCTAGAGTTGGGGGGTCTCGGGGACGAAGGGAAGTTTTTTAATGCTACACTTTTTGTTTAAGGTTCTTGGCTGGAAACATTAAAACACACACAGAGAGATTTGTAGGCTAGTCTAAATGTCTCCAACTCTATTTCTTGATTTCTTGTAAATCATGAATCGGAAAGTGTCATGGCTATACGGTGATCCTATTAGTAGTCCTCACAGCCCTTTACTTGGGCTTTGTGTGAAAAACTACATATGTTAAAGAAAAAGTGTAATGAATTATTTAAAGAATCCTTGCATGTATAAAATGGAAAATACAATCTATGCGTGTGTACCTGTATACACTCTCTACTGTTTAAAGCAACACTGCCTTCCACAGGATAAAAATAATAGTAGCATTTTTTTTTTCATAAATATGATCTCTGATATGGAAGAATATTGACACTATTATTAGCCACTTCTGGATTTATCAATCATGTCTCAAGGCTTATTGAATATTTATGATAATCAAGCCGGCCTTTCCCATTTTTCCCCTCCTGAGATAGCCAAGCCCTCATAGCTACTGATAATGCTGCTGCTGCTGCTAAAAGTTAGCTGAGAGTCTGTTCAAGAAAACTTTCTTAAGAATGACGTAGTAATATGCAAGACATAATTGTTTTGCTTCTCCTCAAGTTATTCTTGATATGGGAAGATGAAGTAGGGAAACATTAGGAAGACATGTAAGTGAGAAGATTTAGTCTCTGCACTCAAGACCTGGCCTTTTCCGGAGTGAGCTCTATGGCAGTTTGCCCTGGCTGTCTGTTGTAATGAATGGCATAGAGCTGTGCTTGAACGCATGAGAGGCAATAAGCTGTTATGTGTGTAGTAATCGTACCCCTCCCTGCTGTAGTCACCCTGTTTTATTACTCCTATACAATCCCCCCCACTGACCCAATTGTAACAGTTGGGAAAATGCCAAAATACTTAGCAGCAACCATATGGAAGACCGTCCAAAAGTGCACAGCAGGAGCTAAAGATAGGGCTTGTTCATTACAATAAAGACAAAATAGAAATATTTACTATTTAAACTCGGTACTCTAATGGCTTGTTCTCCCATAGTTTGAAGAAGACTGATATTCAGCTGATTGCACCTGTCTAGCTAGAGTCCATTCTGATTAGTTGGTGGCCACATTTCACCTGTACACATTTTGTATTATTATATCGCTCCTTATTTAGAGGGCATGATACACTCAAATATATGTTGTTTTCTGGAGTATTTCATAACATAGTTTCCTCCTCTGAAACTGAAATATTGGCCGTTTTTTCGTGTCTGGGTACCTCGGGTTATAATTGGAATGGGTGCATTCTTCTCCTTGTTCAGCTTTTGAAGAAAGACAGCATCACATTGGAGAGTGCTGATTCTGAACACAGACTGCCCAGGTCTGTAACCAATTCTGTGACTTTCCAGTTTTAAGACCTGGGGCAATTCACTGAAGCTCTCTGTGTTTCTTTCATCACATATGTGATAGCGATAACATGAGTCCACCTTTCATATATTAGGTTGGTGCAAAAGTCATTGGCAAAAACCACAGTTACTTTTGTACCAACCTAATAGCTGTTGCAAGGATTAAATTAGTTAATGTATTAAACACTCAAAGTAGTGCTTGACACATAATGTCTTAGCCCGTCTGTGCAACTACAACAAAATAGCACAGACCGGGTAATTTAGAAGCAGTGGGAACGTATTTTTCACAGTTGTGGAGGCTGGGGAGTCCAAGATCAAGGAACCCAGAGGTTTTGTTTCTGGTGAGAGCTGCTTTCTGCTTCCGTGATGGTGCCTTGCTGTTGCATCCTCAAGAAGAAAGAGATGCTGTATCCTCCCGTGGCAGAAAGGACAGAAGGGTCAAAGGGCAGTAGACAGCTGCCTCACACCTGTTTTATAAGGGAGCTAATCCCATTCGTGAGGGCTCCACCCTCATGATTTAATCACATCCTAAATATCCCACCTCTAAAAACTATCACATTGGTGATTAAGTTTCAACATATGAATTTTGGGAGGGTACATTCACACCATAGCACATAATAATCATTCAGAAGGTATTAGCTGTCTGTACTATTGTTCCCAGCTCTCTTACCTTTTTATGCTTTCTCAAGTAATCTCTTCACTTTGAAATTCTCTCCTCTGTAGTAGAGAAAACACGAATGGAAGATTTAGGCTTTCTGTTGTGGATCTTGGTTACCTTCACCCTATCAGCCACCACCTCCCCAGATTAGCCCATTTCTTTCTCCTTAATAAAAAAATGGTTTTATTCTCAGCAAACTAACACAGAAACAGAAAACCAAACACCGCATATTCTCACTCATAAGTGGGAGTTGAGCAGTGAGAACACATGGACACAGGGAGGGGGGCATCACACGCCAGGGCCTGTCAGGGGGTGGGGGGCAAGGGGAGGGAGAGCATTAGGATAAATACCTAATGCATGTGGGGCTTAAAACCTAGATGACGGGTTGATAGGTGCAGCAAACCACCATGGCACGTGAAGACCTATATAACAAACCTGCACGTCTGAACATGTATCCCAGAACTTAAAGTAAAATAAACAAATAAATAATAAGATAATGGTTTTCTTGTTCTTAAATCTATTATTTTTACTGGCCATTGACTTGTTATAAGAAATATGGTAACTAGCCGGGCCGCGCGTCGTGCAGCCTGTAGCCACAGCTACTCGGGAGGCTAGGAGGCAGGAGAATGGCGGCAACGCGGAGGCGGAGCCTGCAGTAGAGCTGAGATCTCGCGGCCACTGCACTCCAGCCTGGGCGGTCTCAAAAAAAAAAAAAAAAAAAGAAATATAGTTATAGAAATATGGTTGTTGTTATAGAAATATGGTCTAAAATTGGTATTGGAAGAGTTCAGTGCAGATTTGTTTCTGTTTGTCTTTTCTCCTCAGCTTCAGTCTTAAACTCCTTAGGTTCAGAGAGAATATCTTGTCAGGGCCTTTAATAACCTTCCTACTAGAATATAAATATATTTAATAGAAACTTAATATGCAATAGGATTTCCATATTATCTATGTTTCAATGTTTTAACACCAAATGACATATATATACACACACACACATTTGGTACATTTTTGTTGATTTGACACATTTAACTTCAAGTATATATATGAAAAGCAGCTAACATGATCTATCTCCATGAACACTAGAGATCTAGAGAACCCAAATCAAAGTCAATAAATAATTCTGTACGTACATAAGGATTTAGTGGAAACATCAACTCACTTGTTTCATGTTTCACATAGATTCAAATTTGAGCATACTTTAAGCTGTTTTGCTATTTCACTAACTACATTGTATTCTGCTTTATATTTAATAATGCTACAGTGACTATCATAATGCTATATGACTATCATAAGCAAAATTAAGAATAAAACATTAACTTATATAACATTGAAAAAATTTTTAGAGATATATAGAAGCTTAGGACAAAGAGAATCATCATTTTTTAAGTCTAAAAATATCTCATTTCTCATAAGTGACTTCATCTATTCAGGCTGTTATAACAAAGTACCTTAGACTGGGTAATTTATAAACCAATTTATTGTTCACAGTTCTGGAGGTTGGGAAGTCCAAAATAAAGGTTCCAGCAGGTCCCACGTCTGGTGAGGGACCATTTTTCATAGATATCACCTTCTGTGTGTCCTGACATGGATAGAGAAATGAATAAGTGTATTAGTTCATTTTCATGCTGCTAATAAAGACATAACTGAGACTGGGTAATTTATAAAGGAAGAGGACTCACAGTTCCACATGGCTGGGGAGGCCTCACTATCATGACCAAAAGCAAGGAGGAGCAAAGTCACGTCTTACATGGTGGCATGCAAGAGGGTGTGGGCAGGGGAATTCCCTTTATTAAACCATCAGATCTTGTGTGACTTATTCACTATCATGAGAACAGCAGGGGAAAGACTCACCCCTATTATTCAATTACGTCCCACCAGCTCCCTCCCACAACGTGGGAATTATGGAAACTACAATTCAAGATGAGATTTGGTTGGGGACACAGCCAAACCATATCAATAAGCTTCCTCATACCTCTTTTGTAAGGGCAGTATTTCTATTAATAAGAGTAGAGCCCTCATTTTCTAAACACCTCCAAAAGCTCCACCTCTTAATACTAGCACAATATGAATTATGTTTCAACATTTAAATTTTGGGGGGACACAAACATTCAGCCCATAATAAGAGGTAAGCAATCAATATAGAAAAAAAATGGCTTCCCCAAGTTACCTAGTTAGTAAGGTGTTGAGCCAGAATATGTGAGGACAGACTCCTTGAGTGTTCAGACCCTGTAACCAGCAATGTAAGCTGTTTGTCAGTTTTCTTGAGATGGTAGCTAGGTAGGTTGTATGTGCTCAGGGGGAAGGACAGTGAAGAGTGTTGACCTGTCTAAGGTTGTTACTTTCCACACTTACTCACAGAGCAATACAAGGTCAGGTTTCAGGAGAGGGTTAACTAGAAGGAAATTCTGTTATATCTTCCCTTCCTGTCTTCAATCCCTTCTCTCAACTTATCCAAATTCAGAGCAAATAGGCAGCACTTATTCTAGCTGACTAAGATAACAATTAAATAAAGTTACCCTAAACACATGTATAATTTTTGTATATTTCATACCAAATAATGCATGGAACATTATTTTCATGTTTCAATATGTAAACCTTAAAATTTTGAATTTTTTTCATAATTTTTGCATTTATACTTTAATAGCTCCAGGAATTCCGCGCATTTCCCTCTTTGTCAAATCTTGCTTTTAAAACTACGTGCCATGAAGAATGAGTGAGACTATTGAGAGACTTAGTCAATGGAAAGCTAAATGAGCACCCTAAATGTGTATGGCTGCACATCATTGGTTTTATAGTCTAGAAAGACTTCATGTGTTATTTGGAATATGTAACAACATGATCCTTCTTGAAAAATAAACTAAACTTTGCCCTGAATTCCT